CACGTGATGAATGGACTCTGCAGATGTGCTCGTTCGAAATAATGTAAAAATAGTATGTTTGGGTCTTTGGTCTTCCATTTCCGGCTGGAGTTGCAATGAATGATATTGTCCATCTGAACACCTTCTAGGAAGTTTGGATTGTCTGGGTTGTTCGCTCAAGGGTTTGGGGTAGCCCACTCTCATACGATGCATTTTTATTTTGAGGAACTGTGGGTCTATGCCTAGCTCAAGATTTCTGAGCAATCCGGATGTTTCTAACATTAGCGAGAAAAGAGAGATACATGATAAGAGGATGAAAAAGAATACGCTGCAGCTCAGTGACCCAGCCTGTGTGCAAACCTGAATCTTGAGAAGGAAGGTGATTCTTCTGGGTCGAGTCAGGTGTCACCAAAAGCACGTGGCGAGACACAAAAAAAGTCCTACCCCACGATGGGCCTGGCTCTCCAAAAAATGTCCATGTTATGAAAGAAAGAGAGGACGGGGGAATTACTACAGATCAAGGGATGCCAAGGAAGGCTGACAACAAAGGGCAGCTGCGAAGGGGACATTTTGGGGACGGTCAAGGAGATGTCACACGGGTGATAACACAGAATGCGGGTCAGAGCCCACGGGTGATGCTCAGACTGTGGCTGGTAGGAGGACATCCGTGCTGTTAGGAGACACGCAGACAGAGATAGAGAGACGGAGAGATGGAGAGAGAGGGAGAAAGCAAAAAATGGAACCATAAGTAAAGCTAGAAGAAGATTTAGTAGGTATTCTTTTGTATCATTTTACTTTTTGGTGGATTTGAAAATTTTCAAAATAAATAGTTGAAAATTCTCAAACTAATTAGTTGGGAGAAAATAAATAAAGAGTTGGGAGAAAAATTTCCAAATAAATAGTTGTCATAATGCCCCTTTCTTGACAGCCACTGATTTGGCCTTGGCTGGCAGTTAAGCCAGGAAGAAGTCCTCTGAATTTCACAAGCACACGTTGCCCCGTTACTTCTCTAAAGTAAAAATGAGCATTTACAGAGCCCTTCTCCAAAGCACGTCATCGCCGTGATCCTCACAGCAGGCCCTGGGAAAGGAGGCTGTGTGGACCCATTTCTCCTGTTTGATGGTCAATAGGACGGACCCTGAGAGGCAGGTGGCCCAGTGATTTACACTCACTGGAGACAGAGCCGGACTCCACTGGCACCGAGCGCCATGCTCTTTTCACTGCGTTGTAAACATCGCTGAGCGTGAAGAACCGTCCAGACTTTCTGAAAGCATCGTGACTCATGACGCTCATGACTTTGCAAATGGTCTACAGGTTACTGAAAGGAAAGTTATCTTGGAAACGGGTCAGTGGCATCCTCCACTTATTTGAAAAATTAACAGCGCATGTATCCCACGGTGTCTGCCTTCTTTCCCATGGGCTTCCAGTCCCATTTATACCTCCCATCTCTCCTCACTGATCAGACTTATGGATTATAGTAAATTGCTGGTCACTATTGTCACTATTACTCCAGGGACACACGTGGCTCTCACCCCACTGAGTCCCACGTTGGTTTTCCTGCCCTTCCTCCCCGAAGGTGACATCTGGGGACCACCAGACCCCACGGCTGGTGGGCTTGTGGAGGGCTGGGCTCTGCCCCGACTCATGTAATCCTGCGAAGGGCCCGAAACACAGACATCTCCCCGTTTCAGTGGAGAGCCCGGGGCCAGGCTGCCCAGCTAGTGGAGCTGGGCTTCTGCCCAAGAGCTGTGGGCGCCCCCCACCCCCCGCCTGCAGTCGCTGTGCATCCTGCCTCTGGGCACTGTCTTTACAGCAGTGGGACCTGCTTTTTCTGGCAGCATCTTCAGGGAAACTCAAATGGTGCCCTTACAAGGTCTGATTTGCCTCCCAGCAGTGGAAATGTGTGCTTCCCAGTGACCTTTCCTGGAAAGTCTGTGTATTTTGAACATAAGTGACGAAATTAAGCATCGCAAAAGTCAAATTATTATGATCACCTGTTTCTGTTACGTGTGCTAAATACATTTGGTATCAACGTACCAATTACAATAGTGACTCTACCTGTATAACAAATTCTAATGGATCACAATCGTGCTAGAATAGAAATGCAAGCGTCTTGTGGCTGGCGAGAGGTTTGGCCAGGCAGGGCTTCCCCAGATGGTGAGAAGGTTGGCAGTCACACAGGAATTCAGGAAAGAAGGGACGGGGACTCCCCTGGTGGCACAGTGGTTAAGAATCCGCCTGCCAAGGCAGGGGACATGGGTTTGAGCACTGGTCCGGGAAGATCCCACATGCCATGGAGCAACTAAGCCCGTGCACCACAACTACTGAGCCTGTGCTCTAGAGCCCGCGAGCCACAGCTACTGGAGCCCTAGAGCCCGTGCTCCGCAACAAGAGAAGCCACAGCAGTGAGAAGCCCACGCACCGCAACAAAGAGTAGCCCCCACTCGCTGCAGCTAGAGAAAGCCCGTTCACAGCAACGAAGACCCAATGCAGCCAAAAATAAATAAGTAAAATTAAAAAAAAACTAAAACCCAAAAAACACCAAAAAAGAAAAAAAAAAAAGAAGGGATGTGTGTGTGTTTAATTTTATTGAAGTATAGTTGATTTACAATGTTGTGTTGATTCCTCCTGTATAACAAAGGGATTCAGTTATACATATATACATTCTTTTTCATGTTCTTTTCCATATGGTTTATCACAGGGTATTGAATAGAGTTCTCTGTGTTATACAGTAGGACCTTGTTGTTTATCCATCCTATATATAATAATTTGCATCTGCTAATCCCAAACTCCCAATCCAACCCTCCCCCAACCCCCTCCCCCTTGGCAACCACAAATCTGTTCTCTATGTCTGTGAGTCTGTTTCTGTTTCGTAGATAAGTTCGTGTCTTATTTTAGATTCTGCATATAAGCGATAGCATATGGTATTTGTCTGACTTACTTCACTTAGTATGGTCATCTCTAGGCCCATCCATGTTGCTGCAAATGGCATTATTTTGTTCCTTTTTTATGGCTGAGTAATATTCCATTGTAAATAAATACCACATTTTCTGTATTCATTCATTTGTTGATGGGCACTTAGGTTGTTTCCATGTCTTGGTTATTGTAAATAGAACGTCTATGAACATTGGGGTGCATGTATCTTTTCGAATTATAGTTTTGTCTGGGTATATGCCCAGGAGTGGGATTGCTGGGTCATACGGTAATTCTATTTTTAGTTTTTTAAGGACTCTCCATACAGTTTTCCATAGTGGCTGCACCAACTTACATTCCCACCAACAGTGTAAGAGGGCTCCTCTTTCTCCACACCCTCTCCAGCACTTATTATTTGTAGACTTTTTAGTGATGGCCATTCTGACCGTGTGAGGTGGTAGAAGGGAGGTGTTTGAGCTGTGCCCTTGCCTCCTTGTTCAAGGATAGGAATGAACATTCTCCCCTGAGTCTCACAATGTGGTCCTGCATAACAGACCTTATCCTCAGAGCCTTCTCCCTGACTGGCATGGACCAGCCATGGCTTCTCAGTTGCCCATCCACAATCCCCAGCCCTGATTTATGCATCACAGTAAATGGTCCCTCCCCAGGTGTGGGCAACACAGCATACTCCAGTCTCTGGATCCTGGATGAGCTCGGTTCACTGCCTAGGGAAACTTGGATGTTAGCCTTCTGAAACAGTCATTGAGGAGACACCTTCCTGCCAGTTCCTGTCACTCCTACTCACACGTGACTGAAACAGGAGGCTCGTGACTTCCCCTTTTTGTGGTCACTCAGTCATGATACGTAGAATCTTGGCCTGATTAGATCTGATTTATAGCAAAAGAAGAGTTTTCCTTTGAAAGCCTGATTCATCTTCTCCATTTTCTTAGACAATTAAGGGGTATAGACAATAGGCATGGTACATTTTTTTCTCTTTTTCTTCTCTTCTTTATCCGTCATAGGGAATTGCAGGCAGTATCTTAATTTGATTCCCTAAAGCGAGGCATGCTCCTGCTAGGAGGCATCTCTGGGTGCCTCTTGTAGTTCTGCTTCTTCCTTCTGGATTAAAAAAGCACCTTCTCAGTTATTTTGTGTCCACTTCTAACCAAGAGAAAGACCCCAGGTGGAGGTGTGGTGGTTTTACAACAGGCTGCAACATTTTGACACCTCTCCTATCAAGAGGTGGGGTGTATACTTCCTTCCTTTGAATGTAGGTGGCTTTGATCAAAGGAGTCTGGCAGAAGTGATGCTATGGGACTCTCAAGGCTGGTCATAAAAGGCCAGGTAACTTCTTTCTTTGTTGAGACACGTGGCTTGGAGCCCTGAGCCACTGTAAGAATTCCAGCATCCCCGAGGCTTCCGTGCTGTGAGGAGGCCTGAGCCACACAAAGAGGCCACATACAGGCACGTACATGGTTGACTGTCCCAGCTGAGCCGAGCCTTTCAGGAATCCGAGCCCAAGCATCAGGCTTGAGAGGCTTCCAGGCAATTCCAGCCCCCAGCTCAGGGCCTCTTCACTCATTTGTAGCTTGAGTTTTCCCATCGCATGGCGGCTTCAGTGGGAAAGCACTTTTGTCTTTCTGGCTGAGGCCCTGGACATTGTGATTTAGAGACAACCCACCCTCCGTGCTCTGTTTTCCTAAACAACAAATTTGTGAGTATAACGGGGTGGTTCCGTTGTTTTGTGCCATTGCTTTGGGGTGTTTGTTACACAGTAACAAGAGACTGGAACTGGGGGGTGGGCTTCCCTCTTAACTTTTGTCCATGGCCCCTCCAGTGGGCAGCTTTCCCGGGGGGGCAGTGGGAGGTACGGGGGGGGGGTACTTTCGGGTGTATTTTAGCATCATTCACAACCCTGTCCACATCTGGCTGCCACCAGGTGGGTTCTTCATCTCAGCCCGCATATTTAGAATCTATGGACCCTTCAAGACTTTTTTTTAAGGCTGTATTACTAAAAATGTGGCTGCAGCAGGAATAGACAAAAGACCAATGGCACAGGGCAGCTGAGAGGCAGACCCCTCACTAAAGAAATATGTCATAGAGGTGGCATGGCCGATCGGTGGGCAAAGGAAAGACTGTTCAATGAGTGACGGCAGGGCTCTTGTTTATCTGTTTGGGGAGAACAACTTTGATCTGTATCTTATTCCATAGATGCTCCAGCTGCATTGGGGACCTCAATATGAAAAGCAAAACTTTACCATCCTCATAACCTCAGAATAAGGAGGAGCGATCTATCTGGAAAATCCCAAAAAATAGCAAAACATAGGAAAAAGTTGATAGTTAGAAAACCAGATTTCTGTTTATCCAAAGCCACCAATACAAAACAAGAAGTCAAACTGCAGAGTGGGAGAAGAGATTTACAACGAATATAATTAACAAGGGATAATAAGGAGTCCTGCACATCAATAAGGACACAGACAATTCAATGGAAAATGGACCAAGGTGTGCAGCGTATTCACAGCAAAGGAAACCAAATAGTTCATAAACGTGAAAAGGTACCCAGCTTTGCCAGTAATGTGGCAAATGACAGCCCTAAGGGGACAGCATTTCACACTTAGGTGTTTAGGGAAGAAAAAGTCAAATCCAAGCACTAGTGAGGGCACAGGACAACGGAAACCGTATCCACGGGTGGTGGGAATGGACGTGCTTTGGAGAGGGTTTGACAGTCAAGTTGAAGATGCAACGCTCTGGGACTCAGAAACTTCTCTTTTCCTTGTTGTACCAGGCGGGGTCCAGGCAGGAAACTGCTAGGCAGAGCCCTGAGGTTCTGGAGCAAAGCTGTGCTTTCCGTGTCAGAGACTTATCAATCATTGAACAGCTCCCAGGATGCTCCTGGGCCCTTGTAGAGACTGAGAGCCTGACCACAGGACAGCAAGTGGCCACACGCCTGGACTGCCCACCCTGAGCTGGGGATTGTCAGAGCCTCCAAGTCATGATGTGGGTCAGGCACAGCAGCAATCCATCCTCAGTGGATATGGTGCATTTGGGATTGGACCGCAGCAGGTCCAGTGGGTCCAGGAAGCATTGTGAGCATGTGACTCAGAACTTCGTGTCACCAAAGCCTCTGCTTTAGCTCACTCTTGAAGGGGTCACCTAGACCAGCTGGTGGAGGAGAAAGAGATTTGGGCTTTGTTCACAGATAGGTTGATATACTGGTCCAGGCCCCAAATGAGCTGCTGACACACCGTGGTCCCACTAAGGAGTACCCCTAAAGGACAGTGGGGAGGACAGAGCTGCAAGCATGGAGGGAGAAGTGATCTGAAATAAGGAGGTATGTGAGCTCTTGAGCAAACAGTGTGGCTGGTTGCCAGGGCCTCGGAGGGAGCAAGGTTGGGAGACGGTGGATGGGCAGCTGCAGCAACCGTGGCTCAATAAAGGCTCAGGTTAAACTCAGAAAACAGTACAATGGTGTCTACCAGGGGCTGGAGGAATTGGGTGTACATTGTGTAATGGTACAGATTTGCAACTAGAGACTTCCACATCCGGAAGCTTTTCCTTCACTATTCCTTTCACCCGCATGACACCTTTACGGTCCTGCGGTTCTTCTTCTATTTCACTGGCCTGGGCATCATGACTGCCGTCAGCTTCCAGCGCTGTCTGTCCTCCTTCTTCCCTATTTGGTATCGGTGACGTTGCCCCAAGCACCTGTCAGGCAACGTGAGCGCCCTGCTCGGGACTCTGATCTTTTCGGTTAATATACTGAGAGGTCGTGCCTGTGGTCAGTGATTCATCCCAAGGACAAAGCTCTGTCCTGCGCGTATGGCCGCCGCCATGTGGGGCTTCCTGCTGTTCTCCACCCTGGGCGTGTCCAGTGAGCTGTTGCTCCCCAAGTCCAGGCGAGCTCCCAGCAGCACTGGCCCCAAAAAGCTCTACCTGGTCCTTCTGTTCTCGGCCCCGGGCTTCTTTCTCTTTGGCCTGCGCCCCTGCATCATCCGGTTCCTTGTAGCTGACGTGCAAAACCACACCCTCAGCGACGCCTGCATCCTCCTATCCTGTGCCAACAGCACGGCTAACCCTGCTCTTTACTTTTTCATTGGGGGCCTTCAGAGACGGCAGCTGAGGGAGCCCCTCAAGCTGGTCCTCCAAATAGCCCTGGGCGAGGAAACAGAGGATGGTGAAGGTGGGAAGGTGCCCCTGACTGGCAAGGTGGAGAGGGTGGACCTCTGAAGGATGGGGGGCTCCCAGTGGATCCATGTCCCTGGGGCACAGTCCCTACCATCTCCTGGTGGTAACCATGCCTCGCTCCCAGCGGCACAGAGCTCCCCAGGTCAGCACCCCCAAATAGTCCCCTTCCCAGCCTCCTCTTTGTGAAAAACGAGGACAAATAGCCACAAGCAGAATTTTTTGTTTTTGTTTGTTTGTTTTGTTTTTTGCGGTACGCGGACCTCTCACTGTTGTGGCCTCTCCCGTTGCGGAGCACAGGCTCCGGACACGCAGGCTCAGCGGCCATGGCTCACGGGCCCAGCCGCTCCGCGGCACGTGGGATCCTCCCGGACCGGGGGCACGAACCCGTGTCCCCTGCATCGGCAGGCGGACTCCCAACCACTGCGCCACCAGGGAAGCCCCAGAAGCAGAATTTTTTTGTGTGTGTGTATATGAAACCAAATGCACACATCTGAGCCTTTTGAAACCTGTTAAATTAGCCTTGAGAAAGTTTGTGAACTCACGCTCACCAACCTCAGAAAGTCGATTTTAACCTCTGACTTACTGTTAAAATTCTGCTTATTTTCAGTTTTGGATAACAAACGCTGCTAAACTCCTTTCGGATGTAGACTGGTCCTTGGAAATGACGCACCTTGTCCTTCGCCCATTTTTCCGGCATGTTCTAGGGTCTGAATACTGTGTTTTATTTTTTTCTTCCTTGACTTTTAATGGATTGACCTCGTGGGATGTACTCTCTCTCTCAAAACTCTCTCCTTCTGTCTTTAGAATTCCGGCGAAATAAAGATTTGTTGACCAGTGCCGTCTGGGGGCGGGCAGGGCGGGCAACGTCCAGTTGGTGCGGGTTTGGCTGTGTCAGTAGCTCATGCTGCAGTGACAGGTCTCCGTGTGGTCCCCCAGGTTGCTTTGATTGTTGAGTGAAATGTTTCAGCCAAAGCTTGTACGACCGTCCAACGGAGAGGAAGGTGCTGGCGAGTCTTTGCTCTCAGGAGCGACCCCAGGAGATTCCGAGTTAGCTCTGGGTTTGACATGAGGCTTCACTGCCCTCTCCAGGAGCTGGGGTGGGCGGGCTTGTCTACGTTTGGGTCTCAGAAAAGAGCCAGGACCCCACACGATGAGCTGGAGCTGCAGACAGGAACCCATAGCTCCTCATCAACCAAGCTCTGGTGACTATCTTTTAACTGGGGGGACACTACCCTATAGCTGGGGGGACACTTCCTATAGCTGGGGGACACTTCCTTATAAATGGGGGACGCTACCCTATACCTGGATGACCAGCGGCCAGGGTCCTGGGGTCCCTGAGTGCAGGAGGCTCTTGCAGGACAATGCTCAGGACCCTGCCACTGACCCCACGACTGGCCGTCCTGAGTGTCCACGCTCCCTCCATCTCCCTTCCCTGGAGCAGAAGCCCTCCACCCCACTCCCAGCACACGTGGTGCAGGAGCCGCGGCCTCAGGAGGGTGCGTGTGGCTGGGGAGGGGGGCGGCAGACAGGAGGATGTCTCCTCCCCAGGGTGTCAGCAAGGTGCACGTCCCCCCGGGGGACACCCATGGGGTGCCGACACCTGTACCGAGGGGCCTGGCCATCACCCTGGGTGACAGCCATCCCAGAAGGTGACAGCACTGTCACCCCTAGGCTGCAGAACCCACGGCCACGTCCTCTTGAGCTCATCCGTGTCACCACCCACGAGGGCCAAACGCTGGGATGAGACCCACAGGGTCAGGGAGGGCTGCCCGCACGGGATGCACCCATCCACTCGCCGGCCGTCCTCAAAACTGTCCTCAAGTTAGGGAAATACTCATTAGCATACCTGGGCCACGTCGGCTCGAAGAATAGCTTTTACTGCTGCTCTGTTTTCTTTCCAGATTCTCCCGAAGGTGAACGACTGAATTCTCCTTGAAGCGTAAACTTTTCCTTTGTTTTAGGAGAAACACCTTCACGGGGGTCTTAGTACGTACGTACATGCGGGCTGCTGTAACAAAATATTGATGCCACAGACCTGGTGACACACAAGCAAAAGGGCACTGCTCACAGCTCTGGAGGCTGGAAGTCAAGACCAGGTGTGGGCAGGGCCAGGGGAGGGGCCTCTTCCGCGTTGGGTCAGAGACTTCTTGCTGGGTACTCATGTGGCACAGGGGCCAGGGGCTGCCTGGGGCCTCTATTATAAGGACAGTGATCCCATTCATGGGGCTCCACCCTCAGGCCCCTATGACCTCCCAGAGGCCACACCCCCTGACACCATCACATGGGGGGTTTAGAATTTCCCATACGAATTTTGGTGGGATGCAAACATTCAGACCGTAGCACTGGGATTTGGGTCCACAAGGCCAAGACGCTCTTCTGGAAGGACCCCGGACGGCAAGTAGGATGTGGCTTTGCATCGTGGTTAAAAGGTTGTCTTTATGTCGAGTGACTTTACGTCACAGAAAAGTGGCCCTCGGTGGGGTGAGGGAGAGGGGGTTATTCTGTCCCCGAGCCTGCGGGAGAGTTTCTGGATTCCGGGGGTGGGAGATACAAAGATGGCGGCAGCCTTCGGGGAAAGAGGGCGTGTGCCCTTGTTCCCTTCCCTCGGCCCAAGCCTGGCGTCTTATTAATACGTCCCTGTGTGCCGCTGTCACTGTGGGAAGTTGAGGAAAGGTCTGTGCACGTGCTTTGCAGGCCCAGGGCCTGCAGTAGCATTGCAAGGAAACGTGGACTTAGATCCAAGGAGCCATCGTCCAGAGCCTGGGCCCGGGCCAGGGCCCGAGGGTGTGTGCAGTGGCCGTTCCTGTTTGGAGAACTCATCATCTAGTTTTCCTAATTCTGATAACACCCCGTGGTCCTCTTTGGAGGACCTCGGGGCAGTAGCTAACTGGTTCAGAAATGGGCATATGACCCAACTGAGTTAATCCAGGGCCTGTACTGAAGAAACGGGGAAGGCACATGTGCTAATCTCCTGCTGGATCTGAACTTGGGAGTTGGCAAGACTGCAGTCACAAGAGGAAGCCAGCGCACAGAGACAGGGTCAGGGGAAGAGAGAAACAAGTTCCAACGACATGGCACAAACCCTGGGTCCAGCCAGGCCTGAAGCCGTCACTCCCCCAGACCGCTCAACATGTCCATCAATAAATTCCTTTCCTTGTTCACCAGGTTCTTTTCTTGGGTAAGGCTTTTGGTAACACACACGCAGAAAGTCCAAGCTGATGCAGTTTGTAAATATTCCTGGGGATTCTTAGGAATTCCTGGTGTTCCAGCAGAATGGGGGCTGAGCTGTGTTGCTTGGGCCCAAGGCTGGACCTTCCGCAAGGCCCGCAACCGGAGCCCAGCTCTCTCCTCCCGCCCACACTGGCATCGTCCCACTTAACCTGGGTGCTGACCCAGAATGGTGAGACCGAAATGGGAGGAGAAGGCTGGCAAGGATGGCAGGCAGCCGGCCCCCCAGGGGGGTCTTTCCTTAGGGCAGCACGTGGGGGGGCAGGCAGCTGGCCCCCCAGGGGGGTCTTTCCTTAGGGCAGCACATGGGGGGGGGGCAGGGATGGTGACCGTGCAGACTGCCCCGAGAGCATTTGAAGCCTTCCTTGGTGGCAAAGGATGGAGGCAAATCTACCTGCAGGTTTAGGTCCTCGGAATGACAATGATGGTGACCAGGAAAGAGAAATCTGGGAAATGGGCCAGTTTATAGTGAGAAGAATCATACACAAGGACAGAGGCAGAAAAGGAGAAAGGGCTGCTTTGCAAAACTACAGAGATTGCAAGGGTGGGTGACGGGTGGGGATGGTCGTTCTAGAACCACCCTCCACCCCCCAGGGCCTCCTCCATCCCCACCTGGAAAATCCTCCTTCAGCTCAGGTGACACTCAGAGGAGATGCTGCACAAGGGCCAGAGGGGCTGGGGAAAGCGCTCGCTTCAAGAAGAGGGTTTATATATAGTAGTCTGGGTATGTCCATCCCAGTACCTGCTGTACAGCGCAGGGAACGCTACTCAGACTCTGTAATGCCCTCTATGGGAAAAGAATCTAAAAGAGAGCGGATATATGTATGCGTATGGCTGATTCACTTTGCCATACAGCAGAAACTAACAGAACATTGTAAATCAACTATACGCCAATAAAAATTAATTTAAAAAAAAAAAAGAAGAAGAGGGTTTAAAATCGCATCCTCTTGTATTTCAGCCTTTTTTTTTTAAAGAAACTAGACCGAAAAGATCCCTCTCCTTGAAATATGTCAGATGGGGCTTGTCGACACACCAGCCACTCCTGCACAGTCACCAGCAAGGCAGACGTAGCACGAGCATCCTAGCGGGAGGGGAGCCCTCTGCGCAGGACCCGGGCTCAGTCCACGCCGTCCAGGTCTTGATGCTGTCTCCTCTCCAGCTGGAGAACCTAGAAGAGAAGATGCAGCATCACCACGAGGACCTGAACGGCTAGGCCGTCACAATGCACCGATTCACCCGAAAGAGGGTTGCGGTCACGGGACTGAAAAAGCAGGTCCTCCGACAGCATCTTCAGTGATGAGACGTGGGTGGATCCAGAGTCCGGAAGGATGTGCCTTGGCCCGGGCACGGGGGTCACTGCTGGGCTAGAAGATTCCAGGTGAGTTCCATCTTTACCCACGTGTGTTTTTCTCCATTTGAGGGTCTTTGCACACCCTCTGAACCCCAGGCCTGATGTGAGGGAACCCACTCCTGAGTGCGTACTGGTGGAAGCGAGGCCCCACGGCTGACTAATACTTGGCGGGGGGAGAAGGCTGGGCTGCGCACTACGGGGTGTTTTAGCGGCATCCCTGGACTCCGCCCATTAGATGCAGTAGCACAGACCCCTCCCCAGGGATGATAACCAAAAATGTCTCCGGACATTGCCTGACGACCCCTGGATGAGGGCCACGGCCACGGACGTGCAGCGCTGCTTGCGTCCCATCTCAGTTTGCACATCATCTCCTCATGGTTGCTCCCCACTCCCCACCGGCTAGCTCCGGCCGCTGCGCTAGTTCGTCACTAAAGGGATACTTCCTATAAGCTTAAATTATACAAAATGGCCCACCTCTGGCCCAACCCTGCCTCCCAGGTCATGAACATGAAGCTAAAATACCTTTGTTTAGCTCACGGGAAACATCCTGACCAGGCCCACCTATGAATGGCTGCAGGGAGGAAGAAAAAAACACATCCCCTCTGGGGCCAGGAAATGTTTGACTCTAGTCCCTCCCCTGTTAGTATAAAAGAAGCCTGAATTCTCAGGCAAGATGGCTCTATTATTAGGTAATTAGGGGAGAAAAGGAAATACAGATGGTTTAGAAGATGTGAAGCCAGTTGGATACCCTAGTAGTCTAGAAATGACAGCGATTGGTACCACACTGACACAGTGTTGTAGCCCCTAATTTTAGCATCCTCAGTACAGCCAAAAATAGCTCATGCTCTGATTGACTTGAAACGCACTGGATCCTCTGCAGAAAGACGGACGCTAAAAATGCCACCGTATATATTAAAAAGCTTCTCGGTCCTCAATGGAAATGAGCTGATATTCCCTCAACAGACCTTTAACAGGGAGAAAAACCATCTCTGCCTGATTTACCTGAGTTTCTATGCAGCGGAACTGCCAAGGCCAGCGGGTGTTGTAGAGAAACGGCCGCAGGTCGAACCTGTTGTCGTCTGGGCTGTAGCTCTCGGCGTGATACGCGGGGGTCAGTGTGGTCATTTTGTGTCTGTTCGTGGAATACTTCGAGAAAAACCGCTTCACTTTGTCGGCCACCTGGGAGGCGAGGGATGCACAGGGCCTGATGCTGGCAAAGCCGGAAAGACCCCAGGCTGGTGTTCCCGGCAGCGCTGCCCTGGGCTGTGCGAGCTAACAGCACCCACCCCCTGCAACGCGGCTGCGTCTGGACCCCCCGAAGGCAGGAGTGGACCGGTGCCACTGCTCGGGCTGGGGCAGCGGATGAGCTTTGAAGACGCGGGCTCCTGACTCCAGCACCCCGGAAGCTGCATCAGGAGACCCGGTCAGGGGTCCCGGGAAGATGTATCTCACGAGGCTTCCAGGCGGTTCTGCGGGGACCACTCTGTCTGTGGGCTTCGGCCCTAATGAGCCTGACAACATGTAGAAATGCAGCGATATTCCAACCTCAGAGTTCGCCCTCTGCCCCCCAAAAAGGAGGAGCTTGCTTGTTACGATGGGGTCCAACCCCACCCAGACAAACTTAGCCAGCGCAGAAGGAAGGCCTGGGCTGCTGGGAGCCTAAAACCGGACCGTAGCTCCTTAGAGAGAGAGAGCGTTCTCATTTGAAGGTCACGCCGTGGCCACCTGCTCCTGAGTCAAGTCCACCCACAAGGTGGCCTTACCTGCCGACTTCCTGAGGACACTGCACTTGGCTTACCTGTCTGGGGGTGCAGACGTCCTTCCACACATAGAGGAGTTTGCAGAACATGCTGTAGGGCCCCATCTTGGCGATCTTCCGGAGCCTCCCGTAGACCGACAGCTCCGCGTAGGTCACTCCCATGTCTTCCTGGGGACGAAAGAGATGCGTCTCATGAGTGACAGCAAGTCAGCGCTGGGGGACAGGTGAAAACTTCTGCTGGAGATGGAACCGAGCCCCCCCCCCCCGACTCGCCTCATCACCTCCCTCCCGGCTCCAACCTCGAGAGACCTGAATTGAACACTGAAGGCCAGCCATGGATGACGCTGAGCCCTGGGCTCCCAGGCCGGGACCCAGCGATGGAGCATGGCTTGTTGGGGTAGAAAGGAGGCCATGAAGGAACCCAGCAGCAGGGAGGTGGGGGAAGAAGCACAGTGAAAAAGCCACCCATTACCTCGTCAGTCTGGGACACCCGTCCGTGGGCCAAGGGCTCCAGCTCGGCAGTGGCCGGCGCTACCAGGATGCTGCGGCCAAGACACACAGAGGTCAGTCACAACACCTGCGTATTAACTCAACAGATACCATGAAAGCACCAGGCAGTGCTCAGCCCGAAGACGGAGGGATACACAGACTTCCCAGCCTTACGACGGCGGGAGAAGGGTGGTGAGGGGAAGAGGGGAGCAGCGGCTGCCTGATCTGGCCAGAGCCAGGGCAGGGCAGCACCGACAGGAAGGAAGGGGGTGCCTGGTCTCGGGACCCCAAGCGCGCCTGAAGGGCAGGACTGTTTCCATCAAGAGATGGGAGCTATGGAAGGTGGCTGAGTGGGGTGAGGGTGGCCCGCGGCTGTGCTGAGACGCATACCCGGTGACTCAGGGGCCACAGCTGAGGCCTCGTGGGCGCACACGCACCTCTGCAGGGCGGGAAGCTGGAAGCGCTCCATGCAGAGCTGGACGAAGGCTCTCAGGTCCGTCTTGCTGATCCCGCCTATGGGGTTGATGTCTGCGCTGGAGCAGTCGTACTTGGTCAGGTAGCCGAGGAGGCTGCAGCAGGAGAAAAACGCGCGGTTTCCATGCAGCAGACCCGAGGGGCTGCAGATTCCACGAACCTGGGGCCCTGGCCATCCAGTCCCTGGGCATCCGAAGACTCGCTTCTTCCAGGGCCCTGGGGCCAGAGCTTGGCAGATTCAAGGGTCTTGGAGAAGCCTGATGTGCTGGGGCAGATTGGGGAAGGGGCAGAGGCTACAGACAGCCAAGGAGGAGTATCCAGCAAGCCGGACGAGACGTCTGGGCCAGGAAGCAGCTTGGGGACTGACCAGCAGCCACCTGGAAGTGGCCCATCTGGGAGGGGAGAGCTGGGGCCAGCAGAGTGCGGAGCTGAGAGATGGAGGTCCTCGGGAGGGAGGGGCAGGACCTCAGGCATGGACGCTGAGCCCACAGAAGCAGGGCCACCTCCCCACTGCCAGACACCTCCTGCTGTGGGCAGAGTGGCCCCCAAATGCCCACCTCCTAATACCGAGAACCCGTATACATACACATACAAGGTGAAAGCAACTCCACAGATGAGGTGAGGTTGAGGACCCTGAGATGGGTGATTACCCTGGATTATGGGGTGGGCCCTAAATGCAAGCACAAGGGTCCTTAAATGTGGAAGAGAGAACTGGCGGGCAGGGGGCGTCAGTCAGCGGGAGCTGTGGCCACAGGAAAGGCGCACAGATTCTGCACCACGGGCTCTGCAGACAGAGGAAGGGGCCACACGCCAAAGGATGCAGGCGCCCCCCAGCAGCTGGAAAAGGCGAGTAACAGCTTCTCTCCCGGAGCCTCCAGAAGGAACTGGCCCTGTGCCACCTTGACTCTGGGCCAGTGAGATCTGTGTTGAACCCCTATCCTACCGAACCCAGAAGGAACCGGCCCTGTGCCACCTTGACTCTGGGTCAGTGAGATCCGTGTTGAACCCCTATCCTACCGAACCCAGAAGGAACCGGCCCTGTGCCTCTCCCGGAGCCTCCAGAAGGAACCGGCCCTGTGCCACCTTGACTCTGGCCCAGTGAGATCCGTGTTGAACCCCTATCCTACCGAACCCAGAAGGAACCGGCCCTGTGCCACCTTGACTCTGGCCCAGTGAGATCCATGTTGAACCCCTATCCTACCGAACTGTAAGATAATTCATTGGCGCCTTGGAGCCACCGACTTTGTGCCCACTTGTCACCTCAACCCCACGACACTCACCCCTTCGATGCGTCCGTCCCTCTCCACCCCGCCACCACTGCTACCATATTCTCGCTGGACCACTGGATGACCGCAGCTCTCCACCCGCATCCCAAGCTCCCCCGCCACAAGGCCATTGCTGACCTGTGCTGTGGGTACTGTTTGGCCTTTGTCCCACTGCACTCACACGGCTGACCTCTCCCCACTTTTCAAGAGAAAGACCAAACACTCAGCCCTCCAGCCTCCCACAAGCGTGCAAAGCCGGGGTGTAAGACCCCCTGGGTCCCAGACAGGGGGGATTAAAACCTGCACCGCCCTAAGCGGGGCTCCTTCAAGCAACCCCGAGGTGGGTGTAACATCACTCCCTGTCCCGTTAAACGGATGGCTGACGGAAGGAACAGGGTCCGGTCCGTGGGCAAGGGCCAGGGTTTACAGGCCAGAAGAGATCATCGTTTTCACCTGACCCCTGTGCCTCTTCCCCACCTTGGCTGCTCTCAAAGGTGCATCAGGAGCTAAGGGAGACACAGACCCGGCCGGAGTGGCCGTGGGTCAACAAGGGGACTCATGTAGAGCAAGGGCACACACACCTCTCATCCACGTTGGCAGATCCAAGCACGAGAAGTCTGCCTGGGGCGCCCCGGGACCAGAGGCTCAGCTGAGCGAAGAGGTAGGCAATGACCATCCTCACCCGCGCCTGGACCACAGGAGGGGAACGTCATCCGCGTGGGGTGGGGGTGGGGGACGTGCATGCTAACACCGCCTCCCTGCAGCTCGGGGCAGGGGCTCTCCCAGCAACCTCAGGAGGACAGGAAAGTTTAAGTGATGCAGGAGCTTCCAGCGTCCAGAGGGGCCGGGAGCCCGTGGTCCCCTCACCCACACCGTGGGCTCCTGCACTCAGCCACAGAGATGGAAGGACCAAAGCCCGAGGCCGCGGTGAGACAGGGCTGCAAAGCCAGCGGGGGAGACCGTGGTCCCTCCTGTCACTCCCTGCACTGCTCGGCAAGATCACCCGCACCCGCAGAAAGGGGACAGAGAGACATGACAGACCCAGGCAGCTGTAGCCCAGGCCCCCTCTTTCCCTCCACAGACCACGCAGGGTCCAGCTCCCCTGCAGCCGCCTGGAAGGTGGGGCTGCGTCTGAGCCGCCCCCCAAAGACGCAGAAAATGCACGCACTTGCACACACGCCACGTTCACAAACCCTCACGCCGATGCGCACACTCTCACGCACACGCACGCACACACATGCAGACCCCCATCCTTGTCACGAGGCTGCACACCCAGGGTCTCTAAGGCAGGCTGCTGACCCCAGTGCCGGCTGTCCCCCGGGTTCCCCGCGGCCCCCGAGTGGGGACAACGGCCCCATCTGCGAGGCACACCTGTACGTTCTGCAGGGCCAGGCTCTCCCGGCTGCTTCCTCCGTGAGCTGCAAACGCAGGGCTTTTACCCGTCACCAGGCTGAAGATGCCCAGGACGGCCTTCACGGCTGGGTCGATGTTGAGACCGATGTGGTGGCTGGGGAGAGAAAGGGAAGGTGTGCAGACGGCAAAACAAAAACACAGAACACAGAATTTACCATTTTCAAGTGCCCCATTCAGCAGCATCGAGGACACTGACGACGCCACCTCCAGTTCCAGAACTTTCCATCAGCCCAGAAGGAAACCCTGCGCCCACGAGCGGTCTCTTCCCACCTCCTCCTCTTCCAGCCCCTGAGGACGACTGACCCACTGTCTGTCTCTGTGGATCTGCGTGTTCTGGACATTTCAAAGAAATGGAATCACACAAGATCTGTGCTTTCGTGACTGCCTTCTCTCACTCAGGATGGTGCTCTCCAGGTTGATCCACATCGTAGCCTGTGTCAGCGCTTCACTCCTTTCTAAGGCTGAATACCACCCCCTCGTAACCACCTTTTCGTTACCTACTCAGCTGTCGATGGACATTTGAGCTGTTCTGCCTGTTGTGAATACGCTGTCACGGACCCAAACGTGTAAATATTCGTTCACTTCCCTGCTTTCACTTCCTTTGGGCATCTCCCTGGGAGCAGAAGTGCTGCACGGGGACAGCTTTTAGCTGAGCTCCGCGTACAGAATGGGCAGCCTCTTGTTTTTCCCTTGGAGGCCGAATAAATGGGACATTCTGAATGGAGCTGAGTCTCCCTGTGTGGAAAGGTGCCCTCTCTCCACCTTCCTCCGGCACAGAGGCCGCCAGGTGGAAGCGGGCAGAGGGTGGCTCACGCTCCCGGGAGGGGAGAGGGCCTGCCTGTGCTCCCAGCTGGAGGGGGGTGAGGAGGGAACCCGCTCGCCTCTGGGGTGGGTGCTCACTGACCCACAAACGTGGCCTTGGGGGGAGCTGCCCGCCGTCACCGCCACCTGGCCGTGTCCGACGCCACGGACCAGCTACCTTCCGATCTGCTGGGCGAGATCTCTGGCTCTGTTGCACGTCTCCCGGGAGGAGTTCTCACTGGCCATGTAGCAGGTGGTCAGGATGCGGCCGCAGAGCTCCCGGGGGTCCTGGGGGGTGTAGCTGGTCTGGTTCACAATGGTCCGGACGTCGGCCAGCACCTCCTGACCTGAAAACCACCGGACAGAAGCGCACGTGCCGTGTGCCAGGTGCCTGCACCATTTAATCCCTTCTCCGCCGCCCGGCAACCTCGCCAGATCAGCCCTGCGATGCCCGCTTCTCGGCCGCGGACACTGAGGGAATGGCCGATGTCACCGCACAGAGTGACAGGATGTGAACGTGGGTTTGCCCGACCCCACGGCCCGTTCTTTCCTTGGGGCCACACTGCCGACACACGGCAGCGACAGGCACCTGTGGCTTGATGGACACAGCCACGTGGGCCCTGGAAGGGACTTTTAACGGCCTTGCTGTCCCCAGGCCCTGGGACTTGGGCACGACGCTGTGACATCTGAATACGACCTCCACCACGATGCCCAGGACCTGGGTTTCCCCTCTGCTCCTCCCACAGGCTGACCCCCTGGAACCTGCTCGGGCCCCAGACGTCACCTACTTCCGTGCTTCACAGCCTCGCAGACCTGGTGGCACATGGAGTAGACGAGACAGGCGGTGGCCCCGCTGTCCACCCCGCCGCTCAGGGGCAGGAAGAACCCCGCCTGGAACGGGCCGACCAGACGGGGGTGTGAGCAGGGCCTCTGGGAAGCAATGCGCCCCCAGATGAGCCAGCTCCCCCTGCAAAAATGAGCGCCCACAAAATACTCTCCCTGGGGGAGGGGAAAAGATGCCCTGCACGTTCCAGGATGGACTTTCTAGGAGGCAAAGGGACCTCCACTGTGGAGGGTCTAAGGCTGGGTCTCCACGGTGAATTACAGACACGCACGATCACGAAACCGGCAGGAGGCAGGGAGTCTCGTAACTCAGTGTCATCAGACAGGACCCCAAAGACGGAGCCAGAACTCAGCTGGACCTCTGGGCTCTGTCTAGTGTAGCCGAGGCTCCCGACGGAAGCAGAGCCATGAAATGCTTGCATTAAAAAAAAAGTCACCAGCTTGCCGCAGGATCAAACGCAAACCAACCGGGAGAAGAAGCAGAGGGAGGTGGTGAGACACTGATGCCTTACCTGTTGGCTACGTCTTAAAAAATCCCAGAGCCAGCATGCAGGTCCGAGGCTGGGGAACGATGGGAAGCATTAGGATGGGGAATTGCTGACCTGGTCCACAGCTCACCTGGGGGCAGGTGCCAAGGTGGGCGCGCTGTGCCCGTGAGAGCCGCCAGCACGACGCCCAGGTCTCTGTTTTAAGCACTTCGCATGAATGATTTCATTTGAAATCTCAAAACAGCCCCGGGGGCAGGTGCTATCATTGGCCCGGTTGTGAAATGGCACAGGAAGGCAAGAACAGCGTCTCTGTGCCCAAGGGCCCAGGGCGAGGAGTGGCAGGGCTGGGTGTGGGCCAGGGGTTCCGGCTGCAGCGTCAAGGGCAGGCTCTGGAGACCAGGACATGCTGGCCCCGCAGCGCCACCTGGCGGTGAAGCAGGGGATGGGGGGGTTCCCCGGGGGACAACAGGACCCCCCCCCCCCACTCCAGCTTCCCAAGGGCCCCACCTGATCTCCTCGGCGGGACTGTGGTATTTCCACTCAACGGGCTCAGAGAGCGGCTCCAGCAGGTCCTCGTGGCAGGACAGGGCGAAGTCCACCTTCACGCGGGGGTAGGGGCTCACCCTGCTGGCCTGGGAAGGACAACCCCTCAGCGCTGGTACCCGTACAGGCCCCTGGGATGACTGCAGCCAGTGGGGAACACAGCTCAGAACCCCACTGGGGACCCTTCACGGCCGCCAGGACGGCCAGAACAGAGACGGATGTAGCAAACGCTGGCAGGGATGTGGGGAACCCAGAGCCCTTGCACAGCGCTGGGGGGACGTGAGATGGGCAGTGGCTGAGGACAGTCTGGCAGGGCCTCCTACAGTCAAACAGGGAACCACCACAGGACGCTGCAGTCCAGTCCCAGGTACACAACAAAGGACACGCAAACGCATACGTCCACAGCAGCACAATTCATCACAGACAGAGTGGAAATGGTCCAGACGTGCACCGACAGGTGAATGGACAAACAGCACGTGGCCTAGCCGTTCAGTGGAATATTATTCTACCGTAGAAAGGAATAAAGCACTAACACGCGCTACAGCGTGGACGGACCACAAAACATTATTCTCAGCGAAAAAAGTCAGACGCAAAAGGCCACATATGATATGATTCCATTTCTATGAAACGTCCAGAATTGGCAAATCCATAGCGACAATGCAGACTGATGGTTGCCGGGGGCCCTGGGGGAGGTGGACGGAGAGTAACAGCTCGTGGGTCCGGGTTTCTTTTGGGTGATGAGAATGTTTTGATGCTGATTGTGGCGATGCTGCTTGACTCCACGAATACACTAAAATCCACTGAACCGTGTGCCGAAATCGGTGAATTGTGTGGTAAGGGAATGACATCTCAATAAAGCTGTTATTTAAAAAAAAGTCTGGGTCTTTGACGCGCATCCCATGTGTGTGTCTATAAGCACTTACCGCCAGGTTTCGAGACGAAATCTCTGCCCTGTAGCTTCTGACGTCCTCCAAATCCAACGTGGCGGTGAGGACTTCCTGGAGAAGGGAGTTTCAAAGAGAAATCGTGATTTCCTGTTTTGTTTTGTTTTTTCACTCACACGTCTAATTTGTTTTCGTAGGTGTGCCAAATGGCACCCGAATGAATTATGCCTTCTAAGGCAGGGACTGGGGGTCCAGGGAGAGGGGACAGCCAGTGGTGCTGCCGACCCAAAGCCCTTTCCTCTTGTCGTTGCCACGGGAACTTCCACTGAATTGCCGGTGATTCGTTAATCACGGCACAGGACACAATCCTGTCCATAAATGTCTGCTGGGGCTTCTGAGAAAGCTTCTTAAAAAGACACATGAGGAGCAAGGGCCCCTCTTCTGCCTTTGAACGGGGCTGCATGAAGATGCGTGGCTGGAGCTCCTGCAGCCATCCTGTGCCCAAGAGGCAATTGAAAATGAAGCCCACACAGAGGAAGGCCCAGATGGAGAGTGACAGAGGGGTGGAGCCAGAGCGCCGGCAGTCATCACGTTGGGGTCCTGGCCTGGACGTGCTGCCTGTGTTCTAGGAGGTGATGCTTCATTCCTTCGAACCCAGATGAGATGGGGGTTCTGCCACTCGCAACAAATTACAGAAAAGGGAAAAGTTTTAACTCATAGACGTTACTCCTTCCCTTATGAAGAAAAAAAACACTAATCAAATTATATGAGGACATTGTCTCATACACACAGGTGCAGGACAGCAAGAACTGCTTCTGGGCACCACTGGGGGACACAGGGTGGCTGGGCCCCCGCTCCTGCCGCTGGGCTGTGGACAGCTACCTGTGTCACCAGTGGGCCTAACCCAAGCTGGAAACACCCGTGAAGAGACAGAGAATAAAGAGTTGCCACGTCCTTTGGTTCTCCTGTCATTTCCCAAGTGATGGGTCACTGAAGCCGCCGGGCTGCCTTGACAAAGCCACAGAAAGTGAGAAGACGCCAGAGGAGTGAACCCTTCCTGAGAAGAAGGCTCCAGTCCACTTTCCCCAGAACTAGGCTAGCCTTGCACAAAGGCTCGATCGAGGCTGTGAGAAGCATGTGCCCTCGAGAAGGTCAGCTGACCACGGAGGAGGTGGCAGAACAGAAGGGCACTGCCCTGGCCGCAGGGCAGTGATGCCACCTCTATCCCGAACACTCAGGCAAAATCAGAGAATTCTGGCTCAAAAGCCCCCTCCAGGGGGTGGGAGACAATGGTCCCCAGGTTTTTGTATGGCGAAGAATCACCTGCGTGCTTGCTGAAATGGGGGCTCCTTGGAGGGCCTGGATGGGGTCCAGAACCTGTAGTGACCTGCACGCCTGCTTATCCTGGAGCACGTGACCCCCCCCAACCCACCTGCCAGTGAATCCTGCCACCAGGTGCCTGTGGCTCTGACGTTTGGCTGAGTGCTTTGGCCAAACCGACGTGCACTGAAGCGTGTTTGGAGCAGATGAACACCTAGCCGTCTGCATGGACTTCATCTTCCCCTGCAACGCCCTTCCGTCTTTGACATGGTTAATACTGAACAATAGGACGCCTTTGGGGACGCAGCCACTTGGAAAGCAAGGTCTGAGGGACCACGATCAGGACGACTCTTGCAGGGAGACGGAGTGTTCCCGCTGCCGGGGCCCAGACTGCCAAACCTCGGGCTTCCCTCTGGGCAAGAAAACACCGTGGGATTCTTTTCAAAGTTCCTTTCCTCGGCCCATTTTGAAACCGAAGTTTGGTTTCATAACCACTCCTTGCCAACAACCCCAAGGAGATTGCGGAAGGCATGAAACATCACCTCATCTGCGTGGATGCCAAGGAGGTGAAGCGACAGAAGCTACAACAGAGGGTCCTGCAGACTTTCTTATTCTGTGACACTGCTTGCCTTTTGCTCCGGCAGTGCAATCCCCGGAGACTTTTTTTTTTTTTTTTTTTTTTTTTTTGCTACCACCTGCCTCTGTGAGTGAGCATTTCCAACACTTGTTTCCAAAAAAACCCAAGTTGGATCCAAAGACAAGATGTGCGATGCCATATGAAACCTGTACTGACCGTCTGAGCCCAGTAAAAGTGACCCTTTCCGGCAGCACTGAAAGTTACGTTGTGTTGCGTTTGCAGAAGTGGAATCTATTCCCATTTTTTGGGCAGTAAAAGCCATTTTCCTTCTTGGGTGCTTAAAAAAAAAAAAAAAAGAAAACCAACAGGGAGAGCCACACGATTCTCTACAAGCACCTTTTCATCTTGTCTTATTCTCTCTGTAAAGGAAACTTATGTCCAATCGCATGGGAAAGCTCTGCACCCACGTTAATGTGTTTTCAGAAGCAGAGGGTGTGCAGGTTTCATATTTGTGGCTCCAGTGAGGTTACGACAACGTTGGGGGGACGTGCCCCCAGCTGGTCATCAGTCCAGTGAGACCAGGGCGCCCCCCAGAATGAGGCGGGTGGGGGTCTCCAATGCTGCTTCCAGAACCCGCGGGGCAGGGCCCACAGGGAACGTGTGCTGCCTTGATCTCTGGGGAAAACCCCCTAATGGCCCACCTGCAAGCCCCCTCCTGGATCCCCCCCCAACGGACGGGCTCCGCTCTCATCACGGGGACCAGGCGCGGTGGCTGCTCATTCCTGAGGACTGGCTCCAGTTCCCCGCCAGCCCCGGTTGTGGGATTCTTCAAACAAGCCCATCACATCCTCCCGGGAACCTGGGGTCACGCCTCTTGTCACTACAAAGCCCACTCCTGCAGCTCCTGGCCTCTCCCTCAGCTCCAAGTGCAGCCTCGGGGGGACCCTGCAGGGCACGTGGGGCTGATAAACTGCTGGGGATCCCATCCGTCCAGCGTGCTGTGCAGGCGGTCCCCGTGACCTCAGGGTGAGAATCCCTCCCGAACCAAGGAGGTGAAGAGGAAGCAATCAAAACCAGCAGGACCCACCACGGGGGCCACGTCAGACCCCCCGTCATGGGGGAGAACAGAGAACACAGCCCCTGAACCAGAGACCCTCCCGCCATCCCACGCGGGCTGGTTCGTACCACGTCGTCCAGAGAGAACTGGGACCCCTGGGCAAAGATGCTGCCGTTCATGGCTATCAGGGCACAGCCATCGTAGTACAGCCGGTCCCCGTCACAGCCCTTCTGATTGGCCAGCAAGTAAATCCCGCCGTTCTGGAAAATGCAGGGGACGGCAACGGTCAACTGTGGTCCGTCACCTTCACCCTCCTCCGGCCCAAACACACAAAGCTTCAGACGCCCCTGCGACTGTGTCATAATTAGCCCCCCACCCCAGCAAGAAAATGTGCGCCTCCAGGGAATGTCCGCAGCTATGGTGCTCTCGGCCTTCCAAGGTACCAGGCATCACACGAATCATCCATTCTCGCCTCCCAACTACCCTTCAAGGCAGGCGCTGTCACCTCCACCAGACAGGAGGAGAGATGCAGCTTCAGAGAAGACAAACCCCCCCAGGTCACGAAGCCGAGACTCTGTCCCAGGAAAGAGCAAACACGGCCCCTGGTGTCACGCTGCCAGCAAGAGGGGCAAACTCGTGGGCGCTCCCCGTGCCTTGCTGTGGTGCCAACGGGCATCCTGGTTCCCGGTCACCATGTCACTTGTCCTGAGACCAGTATGATGGTCAAGAGCCCAGGAACCGGATGGCTGGGGTGTGAGCCCAGGGGCCACTTGACCGCCATGTACCGAGAGTCCTGCTCCAAAGAGCAGAGGTGTCAACAGCACCTGGCCCGTAGGGCAGTTTTGAGGGTTAAATGAGGTCAGGCAAGTGGGGCCCGGGAAGGGGCGTCACGCACACCGGTCAGCTGCGGCTGTAACCAGAAGCACCGAGCATCCTCACGCTCAGGCCCCGCCCAGCGCTGGGCGCTGGGGTCACAAGCGTGAGACAGACACGCTCCAGCATCCCCGCCGCCACCTACCTTGGTGGTGGCCATGGTCACCAGGTCCACCCTGGCGTGGGCTTTGCGCAGCACGTGGTGGCTGCCTGAGGCATTGGTGAAGATCTCCACGCCGTCCAGGCCCATGTCCACGTGTGGGCTGTGGGCAGATGAGGGCAAAGAAAGGGACCGGTGTCCCCAACCCACCCTCCCAGCCCCGCAGCTCCCAGGGCATCTCCCCAGCCCCAGGCCACGACGCCAGGAAGGCTGCAAACCTCCAGTCCTCCGGGGCCCAGCGAGGATGGGATCTATGGCGCAGAGGGTAAGGCTGACCTGTGGGGTGTCCAGAGTTCCTCGCAGACCTCACTCCCGATGCACGTGTCCCGGGTGGAGAGGACAGCATCCCCAAAGGGCACGGTTTCCTGGGTCGGGAGACCAGAGCGCTTGAGACCCCTTGGCCATCCCGTCTGGGCCAGGTACTGAACCAGGACGCCAGATGTCACACATGAGACTTGCATGAAGGCCACGATTTTGTTTCAAGTACTAATGAATCCTTCCTCGACCCGGAGCACTCCCAGCCCAGGGGCCAGCAGGCATCTCCTCCGCTGACCCAAGGGCCTCAGTCACACCTGGAAGCCGAGCTGAGCTGCCATGAGCTTGATTGTGGCTGCAGCCAACTGTGACTCGGTTCCTGAAGCCTCCACGGGCCCAGACGGCCAGCGGCAGCAGCACTGGCTGGATGCTCTTCTGCATCATCTGTGCTCCTGGGGGCCCATCCCCATGTCAGAAACGAACGGACTGAGCGCTTACAAAGCTCACGCCCGCCGACGGGTCATCCAGCCCCTGAACGGCAGGGCTGGGGCAGGACGCAGGGTCCCTGTGTCTCTAGGAGCTACGGTCGTGTCCCCCGAGGGGTGGGAGCTTCCAGGGCAGGGACGAGGCTGCCCCACCGGTCTGAGCAGTCACCGAGATGAGCAAGTGCTGACAGGATCACCCGGGCGTGGGGCCCACCTTGGCCTCCTCTCTCGGGGACCAAGTTTCAGCTGCGCTGCCATTTCACTCAGCCAAAAAAATCATCCTGGTGGGCCTGGACCGCATCCCAGCCCTCTTGGTTGGGTCCCCTGACGTGTGTGTTAGTGAGTTCAACTCCCTTTATCACCAAGGGCAAGAACCGAGGGGCAGGCCTGGCATTTTCTGTTCTGATGCTTCTTGCCACGGACACAGCCCTCAGCCAGGACCCCGAGCTGGCCGTCCCGGGACCACTGCACACCCTACAACGGGTGCCTCGCATTCCTTATCACAGGGTTAGGGCTGGAATCCTGACCCCATCTTCCTGTGACAAGACCAGGGCTCGGGGCAACAGGGTGATAAACAAAGCATGCAGGGGGGCTCTCAGTGACGGGCCCCTGACCTGAATTATCCAGGTTACAGCAGTTACGGGGCTGGTTTGCCCTGTTTCTTGAAAACTCCCCTGAACTTTAATCCACTTGCACCCAGGGCCAATTTCTGCAACTTGCTCTCAACCAGTGACACCAAGCAGCATCCTTCCACCTGCAGGCGGCCCCCACATTGGTTTAGGGGGGTCACCTGGTATGTTTTCTAGGATATCAAAGGGTCCTAGAAGAATGAAATGGAGGATTTCTCGCAGCAGGGGGATTGCTGCTGAAATGTTTGTTTCACACACACACACACACACACACACACACTCACTGTGTTCTGGATCACGATGAACTTAAATTGTTCCCATTGCTGCAATTCACGGTCAGAAAAGTTTCCAGGTCACATGGGAGGCGACCAGACCTGGCTGAGAACCCCTGTCCCCAACCTCAGCTGTGCCCAGCCCTGACTGCCTCGCGGGAGGCACCAACCCAAGCTGGCCCCTCGGACATCCTCTCTTAGGGATCAGAACCGGTGCCAGTGACTTAATCTGGCTCCCGAGCAGCGGTGATCTTGGCCCAAGGGCCAGGGAAGTGAGAGGCAGGCGGAGACCCCTGGCATAAAGAGGAAAAGGGTCTGGGGGCTGGTGGGATCAGGGAGAAGGGCACTCCTGTCCCACCCCCCAGATCCATCCCCAAGGTCCAGATGCGTCCCTGCCGACCTGCTCCACTGCGGAGGTTCAGTGTGTCCCCATGAGCCACCTTGAGTGCAACAGTGAGGGGTGCAGAGAATTGGGTGTCATGGGCTAAACTGTGTCCCCGAAATTCATGTGCGGAAGCCCTAAGCCCCAGGACCTCAGATGTGGCTGTGTTTGGAGATGAGGATCTTTAAAGAGGTGATTAAGGTAAAATGAGGTCACTAGGGTGGGGCCCTAATCCAATGTGACTGGTGTCCTTATGAGAAGAGGAGAAAAGTGCACAGACACACACAGAAGGACGACCCCGTGAGGACACAGGGAGGAGACGGCCGTCTAAACTCCGAGGAGAGAGGCCTCAGGAGGACCCAGCCCTGCCCACACCTGGATCTCAGATTCCAGCCTCCAGGACTGGAGACAGTGAATGTCTGTTGTTTAAGCCACCCAGGCTGTGGTGCTTGGTTATGGTGGCCTAAACAAACTGATACACTTGGCAACCAGAATGGAAACTCAAGCAGGAGCCGGAGAAATCAGGGCCCCCCTGAAACACCCGCTCTGTGCCCCTGGCTCTCAACGCCCTGCAGGAAGTGGACAGCACCGGGTCCCAGCTGTCCCACCGCAGCAGCTTCCAGGACGAAGGGGATGGTCGAGACCCCCAGATAAGGCTGCAAAGTCAAAGCTCTTCAGACCTGGCCAGCCAGGTGCAAAAGATAAGACAGGACAAGACAGGTTTCTGATGCTGAGTTTTCACAGAATGAACAGGCAGCCAAGGAAAGTCCTTCATGAGTTTTATACTAGAAACCCTCCAAACCCGGCTTCTTGGGCAGTCCCTAAGCCCGAGCCCCAGCCCAGCAGGGAACAGCCGGCTGGCGAGGTGGGGCAGGAACCCCTTCCCCCAGGCTCCCCTGAGCCCTCTACCCCGCTGAGTGAGCCAGAGGAGAGGAGAGGGCAGGGACAGGACAGGCATCACACAGGGGAAAGGAGACGCCCACACTCCCCCCACCCCTCTGCTCCCGGGACCCTCCCCACTTGTTACAGACATCACCCCTCTGTTTGTGCTCCTTACACGGGCCATGGTGATGCCCGTTACTTTGACCCGACGGGTCCTGCCCCCACGGCCCAGCCCAGAGTGACGTCTGACCGAGAACGGGTTTTCTTCTCCGAGACTCACCTGCTTTGTCAGGTCCTGTATCATCCGGGGGAGAAAATATTCCTCTGTTTGCCTGGAAAGGAAACCACCACAGATGTGAGAAGGACCATCCGGGAAGTACGCAGAACGGCACCCAGACGTAGAGCAAAACTCAAAACGAGAGCTTGGAATGGACGAGCTGGCAAAGGAACTGTCAATTTAAGGCAAAAAGGCAAGTATAAGCCTACTCGATGAGGCTCCCAGGCCACATGACAGCGAGACGCTGGGTGCTCTCCTACCATTGGCCTGGCTTCCCCACCCTTTTGTAACTGACCAGGACACCATGGGGGCCTTCCTGGGACAGGCCTTCCCCCATAGCCTCTGCGTTAGCTCCTCTCTGAAGTACCTAGGTAACAGTAGTTGATGCACATTTCCTGAGTTGTTTTACAGATATGAACACCCCCTTACCACCACCACCAAATGGAAGAACTACTCAGTGACCATGAACACGTAGCCCCAGGTCTCCTGGAGCCTAAGGACTGATCATATTAACCCCTGTGACACCACCCTGCTGCCTCACAGCCAGCCAATCAGATTGTGCACAAGGTGATCACGTACCCTGCAACACCCTCCTCTCCTGGCCTTTAAAAATGCTTTGTCAAAACCCTTCGGGGAGCTGGAGGCTTCTCAGGGCCTGAGCCACCTCGTCTCCTTGCGTGGCCCTGCAAAAAAACCTTTCTCTGTTCCAAACTCTGACATTTCAGTTTGCTTGGCCTCACTGTGCATCGGGCACACAGACTTGCGTTAACACTTTCACGCAGGGCATCTGAGAGGCATGTCACGGGGATTATCTGAAAAGAAGTTGTATTTCCCCACGGAGAAATCCAGGTGGAATTCCTGATCAAGGTTCCTGAATCAAAATGATCACACTGCATGAACCCAACGTACGGTGACAAACCGATATCATCACTGAAGTAATAAGATAACGTTCCAAATTCTATGAGCTGGACAGAGAGTTTAATACACAACTTTAGTACAGGCCATCCCACGGTCTACACTAAAAGGTAGAATTCGAACAATAGATGGTTTCCAAATCTGACCTCAAATAGGCTGTTACCAGATGCACCATTAAGACATTTAATTAACTAGATTTCTTTTTGCTTTCTTGGAATTCACAAGAACCTTCTGGGAGATTTTCGTGGCTTTTACTTAAGTAAATTCTAAAAGCAGAGAAATTGAGAGGACAATGCTGTTTCTCCCTCACTAATGAAGGGAAAAGAAACTGTAGAGGTCCTCTGACTCCCGAGCTGCCTTGGCATCCCATAATGAGTTCACCATCGGTAGGCTCGGTGATGGCGATGCTGCTGCATCACGATTTGTTTTAGAGGGAAGAGCTGCCCCAAGGTTTCTCCCTTCACCCTCGCCTCTCCCCTCAATTTGCACGAAGATCCATTCAGAACCAGACGCAGGCAAGCCCACCAGGGAACGATGCAGGTTCACCTTTGCTCCTCCCCACGCCCTGCTCCAAAGCCAACCTACACCTAGCGGATGGCTCATGAGGTCCACACAGTTCATTAAAGAACCAGAGTACCGACAATAAACCCTCCGGATCGGCAGTGAGTCATTCCAAGCTGGCTTCACGCTGGCCCGCCCCATCTTTCCAGCTGCCTCCACACCTGAGCCCCTCCTGCTCTGCACAGCTCCTCTGATGGGCTGTTCTTCTTCCTCAGCGAACATCCCCTGGAGAAACCCTAGCAGCATATTTCTGCCGAGAAACCACTCCTGGCCATGCTAATTTCAAGTCTTTTCTGGCCCCCTGGGAGCTACAAGAGCCCCCTCGACACCCCCGCCCCCCGACACCCCCGTCTTGCTGGGCTCAGATTTGGGGCATCCACCTAAGAATCTAATGAAAGTGAACCTAGATTCTTAAGTTCTCTGCAGTCAAGAACTGGGCCTTTTTTCTGTTTTCCTACAAAAGCCTGAAATAGCATCTTGAAGCTGTGATGGACTCATTACTAAAGCAGGGACACCGTGACAGAACCATTTTATCGTCACCATTTTGGAGCAACTCCCGAAGGGTAAAAACTCTGTTTTGTTTTTTAACTGTACCAGAATGAAAGCTTCTGGTTCCAGCTCAGTATCCACTGCCACCCTTTCTACAGGCACCATTAAATGAGTGATGGTCTGAAAGGATTCAACATTTCAACCTTAGAAACGGAGGAAAAAAAAAGTGAACTAGAGATCTACATTGGCATAGAGTTAGAGACAACAGAAGCCAATGCAAGATAGCAAAGATAATCAGACAATAGAAGATAAAAAGTGAGCTCAAAACTAAGAAAATAATTTGAAAAATTAAAACATTTGAAGATATGAAAACATATTAGGTGCATCAAAGAACAGAACAGATAGGGAACCCTTGGGCACTGTTGGTGGGAATGTAAATTGGTACAGCCACTGTGGAAAACAGTATGGATGTTCCTCAAAAAACTAAAAATAGAGCTACCATACGACCCAGCAATCCCACTACTGGGCATATATCAGAAGAAAACAAAGGCATAATTTGAAAAGTTAAATGCACCCCAATGTTCATAGCAACACATTTACAATAGCCAAGACATGGAAGCAACCCGTGTCCAGCAACAGATGAATGGATAAAGAACATGTGATACATATACACAACGGAATACTACTCAGCCATAAAAAAGAATGAAGATTTGCCATTTGCGACATTGTGTACGGACTTGGAGGGCATTACGCTTAGTGAAATAAGTCACATAGAGAAAGATAAACACTGTATGATATCGCTTATATGTGGAATCTAAAAAATAAAACTAGTGAATATAACAAAAAAGAAACAGACTCACAGATATAGAGAACAAACTAGTGGTTTACCAATGGGAAGAGGGAAGCTTGTTTCAGAAGCTGATCACAGGAATCTCTCTTTGGATGAAAATCAGAGGCCCCATGACCTGCAACCAGGGATTATACATACTAAAAAAGTCATCATTTCGGGCTTCCCTGGTGGCGCAGTGGTTGAGAGTCTGCCTGCCGATGCAGGAGACACGGGTTCGTGCCCCGGTCCGGGAAGATCCCACGTGCCGCGGAGTGGCTGGGCCCATGAGCCATGGCCGCTGAGCCTGCGTGTCCGGAGCCTGTGCTCCGCAACGGGAGAGGCCACAACAGTGAGAGGCCCGTGTATTGCAAAAACAAAACAGAACAAAACGAAACAAAGAGTCATCATTTAAAGGACTCTGTCTCCAACTTAGATGAAAGGACCCTTATCAGGTATTCATAAGTAGCTCAAGCACAGTGAAACAAGGGAACTGACTCTTGAGTTCATATTTCCCACTTACGAGGGGTCTCTGCATCAGACTGGTCTACAGAAAGGACTGCTGACCCCAACAACACCCACCCCAGGATGAGAAGAAGACAGCAGTTGTAGACAGCTGACCCAAGATTCTGGACCAGACCCATTCTACTAATTCAACTTACTGTTTACCAAATATGTGTCTCCCCTATCAACATTAAAGTTATTGTTTTACTTCTAACCATACCTTTGCCCCCAAAGATGGAAAGAAAATTCTCTAGTGAAGTTGTCACAGAGTATAAGTACTCGTGACAGGTACCAGTGCTTGCTTTAAGTCTACTGCTAAAAGGACATGTAAAATGTTTCCGGGACAATTCAGTATAATTGATAAAATGTATAGCCTATAAAAGGTTTCCTTGCTAGCATACTTCTGTGCTTGTTCACTGAGTCTGATTAGTTTCCCCAACGTGGATAACTAGGCATATATATTTGTTTATATCTGTAACAAGCTGGCCTAGCACTGAGTGATATGATGGACCCATAGCAGGCAGCAACCACCCTGGCATCGAGGGACAAATATTTTGATCATAAATGCTTTTTATCAAAAGACCTGCAATCAAAAGGGGAAAATGATGGAGGAAATTTTCACATGTTGAGGTATGGGGAAGTCATTCTGGCTTATACATGATTTAACTTAAACTTTATACTAACCAGAACGACCTGTTTTGTGGCCTATCAAACATGCATTGTATATCTGCTTTAACCACTGAGGAAAAGAGTGTGTTCAAAAATCAAAATAGAGTAACTGTGGTTCAGGCATCCAAAACAGAGCCGGATGGCCATGGTGGGTGTGGTTTCAGACACGCTCCAGTATTCCTGAGCACTTGAATTTTTTGAACTGTATCGGACTCAAGGACACCACCAGCTGTTTTCAGAACAGTATCTGCTAGCTGCCAATCGCAAACTTACGTCGTCAGTGTCTCCTCTTGTAACTATGAAATCTTTTACTTTAGGAATAGCAGCAAACGAGACAGCTCAAGCCATAGCTTCCCAGCAGAGGGCTCTAGATTCTTTAGCCAGAAGGCTACTGGACAATAAATTGCTTTAGGTTATATTTTAACAGAAAAAGGGGGCATGTATGTAGTGGCCAATAGTTCCTGCTATGTATGTATTAATATCACATCAGAAGTTAAAACCTATTTAGATAAAATCAGACAAAAGGCAGCTTGGCTCCAACAAATGTCATCCCAAAAACCTGGATTTGATCTCTTAAGAAATATCTTCTAATGGATCCCAGCAAGAATAAGGTCTATGTTCGAGGGACTGGTTAAACTAGGTATTATCGTTTTGTGTTTGCTAGGATTTATATCCCTTTTTGTCATAACTCTCTACTTGCTGTTTGTCTTGTATCCTTAAGCCCAAAGTCTTGGCCTCATCTTGGGACTTGTGAGTATTTGCTATCAAATTCGAAACAGTTTCATTCGTCAAAACTTTGTTAGGCCTACATCCCTCTTCAGTAGGAAGCAGCCAGAGTGGTCATGGCTCCCTTTCCTCAAGACTGAGGAATGTTTAGAAGGTTGGGGGGACTGAAACCATGCCCCCTAGAGTTAACAGAGTTAACAGAAGCTGATGGCTAAAAGGAATTCTTGAGGTTGTCTTGCAGAGCAGCAGACTGGGGAACAGCTTGTTAAAACCCCTCTGCTTGTAAACCGCCTTTACTGATGTAGCTCACTTTAGTTATTTTTTTCTTTCTTTCTTTTTTTCCTCTCTTTAACTGAATACGTTCCCAGCTTCACGTAGCCCAGCTGTTTTACAAGAACGTGGAGGTTGGCTCATCGGTTACCAGGGAAACCAGCCAAGGGGCATGTCCCTTACTGCCCCTTTGATAAACTGTCATGGATAGCTCTGATCTGAAGACTGTAACAGTCGTCACTAGCTGGGGCCAGGGGGCAAGTATGTAGGCAAGTATGTAGGCACAGATTAGGCTCTATGACTAAGAGGGAAGGTGAGTCAGGTGAGTGGGGTGTAGGTGAGGCAGGGACTGGTCCAGCAGGGATGTACAGAGAGCCAAGAGGGCAGCCATCTTGGGTGGCCTGACTGCACAGTTGCAAACCTCAGCATCTCGGCATTTGGTTTGCTGCATGTTGGACAAATGGATGTGTCCACAGTAACAGACTTGTGATTGGCACCTGAAGTAGGGTGGGGGGCAGTTCAGTGGGGCTGAGCCCTGAACCTGTGGGGTCAGACACTACCTCCAGGTAGACAGTATCAGCACTGAGTTCATTGCCTGGTGGTGGTAGAATCGTAGAAAGCTACTGGATGCTGAGTTTCAGCAAATGAGTGACTGACAGGGGAAGACAGTCATCTAGGAGGCTGAGCAAACCCAGGAGGGAAGAGAAGTCCCAGAGAACTGTGACAGGGAGGGGGTGCCGGCTGTGCAGCCAGCCTGGGGGACAATAAGCAGACTGGGGCAGGAAGTGCCTGTCTGTCTGTGGGAAGGGTGTTGGGCGGGAACAGAGATTGAAAGCAAAGGAACTTGACACTGGTCGACTCCAGGCAGGAGAAATGAGCGAAGAAACACGGATTCAGAACACAATCCGCGGCTCAGTTGTGAACGCAGATATCGGCCGATTGTGAAACGCTGAGCTGTGACTGGTTAGAGAGAAACAGCAAGCCCCAAATGGAGTCATCTGCCCCAAGACAGGAAACCAAGACTTAACTGCAGTTTCAACCTCTAAGAACAGTCAGTCTGACGTCCTGCTCACACTGGGGAGGCAGGCTCTGCACGACGAAGACCCTGCTGTTACTGTTCACAAGAGCCAAGACATGGAAACAACCTAAATGTCCATCGACAGATGAATGGATAAAGAAGACGTGGTATATGTATGCGATGGAGTATTACTCAGCCCTAAAAAAGAACGAAATAATGCCATCTGCAACAAAATGGATGGACCTAGAGATGATCGTACTAAGTGAAGTAAGTCAGACAGAGAGAGAGACAAATACCATATGATATCACTTATATGTGGAATCTAAAATATGACACAGATGAACTTACCTACGAAAGAGAAACAGACTCACAGACATACAGAACAGACTTGTGATTGCCAAGGGGGAGGGGGGGTGGGGGGAGAGGGAAGGACTGGGATTTGGGATTAGCAAACTGGACTATTACATACAGGATGGAGGAACAACAAGGTCCTCCCGTACAGCACAGGGAACTCTATTCAATATCCTATGATAAACCGTATGGAAAAGAGTATTTAAAAAATGTAGAGAGATATATATAACGGAATCCCTGTGCTGTATGGCTGATATTAACACAACATTGTAAATCAACTAAAAAAAAAAAAGACCCTGCTTGCTGTGTCCTCTGTATCAAAGGGGAGGGCCTGGCCTGAAACATTTCTCTCGCTAATACCTTCTTGTCCTGTCCTTCTTCTGCCTATAAAAACCTTCCATTGTGTACAGCCCCTTCTATTTACTAGTGGGAGGCTGCCCAGTTCCTGAATCATTGAATAAAGCCAATTAGATCATCAAATTCACTCAGGTGAATATTTGTTTTTTTAAACAAACTTAACCAGAAAACTGTGAAGTGCCCATGTTAGGAAGAGGAGGTCAGAGAAACTAACGGTGAGGGCTGAATTGTGTGCCAAATCCTGTCCTTCCAGAGCAGGAGGCCACGAAATGGCAATGTTTGCACGAGTTAGAAATACCAAGGCGGGGGCTTCCCTGGTGGCGCAGTGGTTGAGAATCTGCCTGCTAATGCAGGGCACACGGGTTCGAGCCCTGGTCTGGGAAGATCCCACATGCCGCGGAGCAACTATGCCCGTGAGCCACAACTACTGAGCCTGCGCGTCTGCAGCCTGTGCTCCGCAACGAGACAGTCCATGACAGCGAGAGGCCCGTGCACCGCGATGAAGAGTGGCCCCCGCTTGCCACAACTAGAGAAAGCCCTCGCACAGAAACGAAGACCCAACACAGCCAAAAAAATTAATTAGTTAATTTTTTAAAAAAAGGAAAAAAAAAAGAAATACCAAGGCGGAACCCAGAGGCTACAGGAGAAAGGAGAAAAACGGAAAATGGAAATGGACAGCTATGGGGAGCAGGGCTCGGAGACGGGGCAGATTGCGGGGGGGGGGGGCGGGTTGTGTATTTCTTTTTTGTTATCAAGCTTATAGAATTATTTGCGAATTACAAAACCATATTATTATATAAAAGAGCAAACTATTTGTACTATGTATAAAGGAACAAACCATTGGACGAATCTCGAGAGCATCATGTTAAGGTAAAGAAACCGTTTACAAAGCAATGCACGTGGTGTGACTCCACTTGTATGAAATGTAAGAGAGGAGAAGACTAACCCTGGGGGCGTCACCTGGAAAGGGGCAGGGGTGCCGTGGACATGGCTCTATCTTCTTTAGGGTGTGATTGCACGAATGCACACAACTGTCAAGAAAGAAAGCTCCTAAAACCTGCATGTTATTTATGCCTCACTAAAAAAGTGTAAAAGTAAACACTATTTGATACAACATTCCCAACTGTAAAGAGAAGTTCTGTCATATTATTGCCTGATATTACATGATTTTTATAATATTTAAAGCATTCAGAGCACAGAAAAAATTTTTTTTTAACTAACGTAACACTGGCATATAAATTTAGAGAAGAGAGGGGCTTCCCTGGTGGCGCAGTGGTTGAGAGTCCGCCTGCAGATGCAGGGGGCACGGGTTCGGGCCCCGGTCTGGGAAGATCCCACATGCCGCGGAGCGGCTGGGCCCGTGAGACATGGCCGCTGAGCCTGCGCGTCCGGAGCCTGTGCTCCGCAACGGGAGAGGCCACAGCAGTGAGAGGCCCGCGTACCGCAAAAAAAAAAAAAAATTTAGGGAAGAGAGGGAAATCCTGAATAGATACTAGCAAATGGAAACAAAGTTTAACATACCACATCCATTTGGAGCTTATAAAGACATGCAAAGACTTACCATGTTCATCTCAACATATGCTAAGAAGAAATCTGATAAATTCAACAACCATTCTCAATTAATTTTAAATCCCCAAAGTAAAAATAACTAAGGATGGATATAAATCTGAAACCAAATCAGAAACAGGAAGAGCTTTCCAAGTCAAGTTGGGAAAAAGACAAAAATGCCTGTTATCAAAGACACCTGTTCTAGAAATGATCTAGAATATTGTTCTAGAAACGCTGGCCAAGAAAGGTAGCTTTGAAAATGAACTGAGGGATGTAAATATTAGAAAGAAGTAAAATTAGTTTTCTATTACATAATTTCTACTTGAAAAAAAAAACAAACTAAGAAAATCAATAGAATAACTAGACCCAATAAGAGAATGTAGTAAGGTGGCCAATTACAAAAGCAACACACAAAATCTCAAGTTTTCCTACATAAAATTCCATTTGTAATAGCAGCAACAATAAATAGACAGGAATAGCTATAAGAAGCATATAGGGCAGGGGTTCTCAACTGGGGATGATCCTGTCCTCAGGGGACACTTGGCAATGTCTGAAGACATTTTAAATTGTCACAAATGGCCGTGTCTATCAGGTGGAGGCCAGGGATGCTGCTATACACCTTTCCATGCATAGGACAGACCCCCACGGCAAGAATGATCCAGCCCAAAGCAATGGGGCTGGAGCTGGGAAACCGTGATATACAGGATCAGAGGTATAATGATGGAGGATGGGTGACTGACGATTGAGAGTTTCATGTGGTCTGTGGTAAGTGGGCTATAAATGAATCGGCAGTGTCAACGCAGCTATATCTAAGTGACAGGTGCTGTGGGGCAGGGACTTATCTCCCCCACGACCTGCACAAGCTACACACAGGAAGATGTTTCACAAGCATTCAAGGAGCAGTCACAAACCCGGCTCCTGGCATCGGGCAGCGACTCACCGACTCCGGGACCACGGGGTAAACCAGCGCAGCTCTCGGTAGTTGCCTTCATTGGCCAAGGCCACTTTGGGTCTGATGAGCAGGATCTTCCTACAGGCAGGGGGACAAGGCCACTCCTGAGATGAACACGACCCCTGACGAGAAGCAGGTGCCGGTCCGTCCACCCCGACAGTCGACGGGCACAGGGCAGCTAAGACCCGGCCGGGGGGCACTTGCGGGCAGCTGATGTCCAGGGTCTGCGAGGGGACATGACAAGGCCTCTCTCCCTGGGCTGACCTCCCAGCAATGGGGCCATGTGTCCCCAAACCCCCCCCCGTGGCCTCTCTCTTTCTAATACCTGAAGGTGTCAGTGGTGGTGGAGACCAGGAGCAGTGCCACTTGAGTCACCTGCCTGGTACACCAGCCCCCACTAAGGTAGTTCCAGAAGAAGCCTCCCTGCACATGGTCCCCAGGGACCGTGCCCCAGGGCACTGGCACGAGTGCCCGCAGGCGCCTAGAGCTCAGGGGAGACAGGCAGGTCACTCTGCTCCCAGCGGTCACCTACCTGTTCAGAAACATCACCCTGCAGTTGTAGCGGACGTTTCGGTGCATGATGGGCCTGCGGAGAGAGGGGACGCACGCACTCGGTGGCAAAGAGCAGAGTTATGTGTCTGCTTCGATATGAGGTTTCTCCGTCCTTTATGAGAATCAGAAGGCTCCCCTGTGGCTTTCTCAAACCAAAGTTAACAACAAACCCAAGTGTTTCTGCCACAGCATAGGCCCTAAATGGGAGAGAGTCTTCTAAATAGAGCACCAAGTCCCTCCCTGCTCAGGGCTCTTCCTCTCCTCCTGGAAGGTTCTCGGACCTTCCAGTGGCTCCCTCCCACCCCTTCTCACACCCCTGCTGTCACATCACCTCTTCATCCCCTGCTGGCCTCAGGCACTAGCCCCTGCGCCTCCCCAATTCTTCCTCCCAGCACCTCTCCTGACCCGAACACCCCTTACCCCAGAATGCAGGCTGCAGGGCAGGGGCAACGGGTCTGAGGGGCTGGGGCTGGAGTGGGGGGTGGTAGGCCCTGAGCAGATCTGCTCACCCCTCTGTCTGGACCCTTATCAGGATAGACATTGTGTTTTACATCTCCTCCCGGACCACTTGGTACCTTTCTCCTCTGCAGGGGAGGGGATCAAAGCTCCAGAGGCTGGGGTGCTCTGCCGGCCAGTGGCTGGGGCAGAACTGGGGCACAGCTGGGCCGAGACGGGGCAGAGCTGGGGCAGAGCTAGGTGGAGCTGGGCAGAAATGGGGCAGAGATGGGGCAGAGCTGGGAAGAGATGGGGCAGAGCTGGGGCAGAGCTAGGCGGAACTGGGCAGAAATGGGGCAGGGCTGGAGCAGAGCTGGGGCAGAGCTGGGAAGAGTTGGGCAGAGATGGCAGAGAAGGCAGAGCTGGGCAAAGCCCAGGTGCTGGAGCCCAGCTCAGGGTGACAGCGCAGGCGCTCAGGGCAGAAGGCATCAGGCACCACGGGAGGATGGCCTTAAGGGGTACCTAAGATGATGGATTGTCAGATAAAATTAATAAGGCAAATAAATAAATGCCCTGGGACATGAGTAAACAAAGCAGTGATGGAGGAGGGAATAAAACCAGCCATTAATAGTGTGGCCTATCAACTCAGGTGGCCAGGTTCCCATCCCGCTTTGCACTGGCTAAGTCTCGCTACCCTGGGTTCCTCCTCCCAGAGGGACTGAAGGACAGGATGCAGGCGGGGGTGCCCCCAGTTGTGGCCACGACACACGGATGCCACCAGCAAGGACTCCCACTGCTGTGGTTTCTAATCCTCCCCAGGCCAAACCAAAACCTGCCTGTGTTCACATTTATACAAAAATGTGTTCAAGGGCTTCCCCGGTGGCACAGTGGTTGGGAGTCCGCCTGCCAGTGCAGGGGACGCGGGTTCGGGAGGATCCCACATGCCGCGGAGCAACTAAGCATGTGCGCCACAACTACTGAGGCTGCGCTCTGGAGCCTGTGAGCCACAGCTACTGAAGCCCGTGCACCTGGAGCCCGTGCTCCGCAACCAAGGGTAGCCCCCGCTTGCTGCAACTGGGGAAAGCCCACGCACAGCAACGAAGACCCAGTGCAGCCAAAAATAAATAAATAAGTAAATAAACTAAAAAAAAAAAAAAATGTGTTCAAGGCAGGAGGTAAACTTATATTTTAAACAAAACAGAGACCCTCAGTGAATATCCGATTTCCAATTGGAGTAAGCCTCTTGAACAAAAACAAAAACAAACAGAAAATTGAAAGCTCAACGCATAAAGTTAAACAGCAAACAACACACAAGTAAAAGTATTTTTATCATATGTGGGGATGGGTTGATGTTATTCACATATAAAGAACTCTTAAAATAAATTAGACACTTCAACTGTAGGCTAAAGAGCAAGTGTCGCAAATGGCCAAAAAACAAACAAGAGAGTTCACCTTCCTAAGTCATGAAAACAAACAAATAAGATCTTTTTTTAAAAAAAAAATTATTGTGCGTTTTAAGATTCTATTTTGTTTTTTAAGTTTTCTTTATTTTGAGCTAGCCCTTTGTGATCAGTGCTAAGGATAACACACCTTCAGAAACAGGGCAGGAAGGAGGCTCAGCACCTTTTTCCTGGAGGATAATTTGTAAAGACAATTTCAGACGGAGAATATCAATGACATCATGGTATGACGGTTGTTTTCTTCAGTGGTGCTTACAGATCCAGATAAATGCTGGATTTCCAAAGAAAAATATCTTTAAATATGATTGTTAGCACTTTGAGGACAAAAAGCAGAAAAATTATAATCGGATTATAAGTTCAAGGCCAGCAGAGGAAAGTGGAAAAAAGAAAACACACAAAAGACAACAGGAAAAACAAAAAAGAAAAAACCATGATGACTAGGACATTTAATAAAGTGGCCAGAGGTGGGAATGGGAATTGATACAGCCACTATGGAGAACAGTATGGAGGTTCCTTAAAAAACTACAAATAGAACTACCATGTGACCCAGCAATCCCACTACTGGGCATATACCCTGAGAAAACCATAATTCAAAAAGAGTCATGTACCACAATGTTCACTGCAGCTCTATTTACAATAGCCGGGAGATGGAAACAACCTAAGTGCCCATCATCGGATGAATGGGTAAAGAAGATGTGGCACTTATATACAATGGAATATTACTCAGCCATAAAAAGAAATGAAATTGAGCTATTTGTAATGAGATGGATGGACCTAGAGTCTGTCACACAGAGTGAAGTAAGTCAGAAAGAGAAAGACAAATACCGTATGCTAACACATATATATGGAATTTAAGAAAAAAGTCATGAAGAACCTAGGGGTAAGAGAGGAATAAAGACACAGACCTACTAGAGAATGGACTTGAGGATATGGGGAGGGGGAAGGGTAAGCTGTGACAAAGCGAGAGAGCGGCATGGACATATATACACTACCAAACGTAAGGTAGATAGCTAGTGGGAAGGAGCCTCATAGCACAGGGAGATCAGCTCGGTGCTTTGTGACCGCCTGGAGGGGTGGGATAGGGAGGGATGGAGGGAGGGAGACGCAAGAGGGAAGAGATATGGGAACATATGTGTATTTATAACTGATTCACTTTGTTATAAAGCAGAAACTAACACACCATTGTAAAGCAATTATACCCCAATAAAGATGTAAAAAACATAAAAAAATAAAGTGGCCAGAATCAGTCCATGTGGTGGGCTGCATAAAGGCCCCCAATGACGTCCCCATCCCGATTCCTAGGACGTGCAAGCATGTCACCTCATGCGGCAAAGGGTACCTCGCCGATATAACAACGTTACAGACCCTTTGGGAGATCCTCCCGGACTCTCTGGGGCCCTCATCATAACCACAAGGGTCCTTCTGTGAGGGAGGAGGGACAGTCGGAGGGCACGTGGCAGTGCAAGCAGGGGTTGCAGTGATATGATCGCTGGCTTTGAAGATGGAGGGAGGAGGAGGGGCCACGAGCCAAGGGATGCAGGCGGGCCTCCCAAGCTGGACTCCTCCAAGGAAACCGATTCTCCCCCAACAGCCTCCAGAAGCCCAGCCCTGCTGACCCGTTTCAGACTTCTGAGCTCCACACCCACAAGACAACAGATTTGTGTGGTTCTGTGTGTCGCATCTGTGGTACTCTGTCACGCAGCAGCAAAAGAGGAAACAAACATGGTCCGTGTGTCAAGAATGATAGTAAATGCGAACAAACGGGGTTAAAAATCTCATCTGTTCACTGCTTAAAAGAGACCTACTACACAGATGTCGCAGCAGGTTGAAAAGGCAGTGCAGCCCACGTGCAGGGCCGAGGAAAAGAAAGCAAACTCGGCCACATCCACACCACGTAACACAGAGTGAAGGATGCAAACAGAAACAACATAAAGGTCCACCCGTGGGCTCTGGTTACACAAAGCACATCACAGACACACTCAACGATAGTCCTAGGCCAGAGCCCTACCCATGTGACCTGCACCTGTGGAAACTACACGCTATGGACCTACAGGCAGACCTCGTTTTATTGCACTTTGCTTTACTGTGCTTTGCAGGTATTGCTTTTTTTTTTTTTTTAAGTTGAAGGTCTGTGGCAACCCTGCATTGAGCAAGTGTATTGGCGCCATTTTTCCAACAGCTTTTCCTCACTTCCAGTCTGTGTCACACTTTGGTAATTCTCGCAATATTTCAAACTCTCCACCAGGAAAAAGATTACAGCTCCCTGAAGGTTCAGATGATGGTTAGCATTTTTTATCAATAAAGTATTTTTTAAGTAATGTAAGTACGTATATTTTTAGACATAATATTGCACACTTAACAGACTACAGTATAATGTAAATGTAACTTTTATATACACTGGGAAACCAAAAACTTTGTGACTCACTTTATTGCTATATTTGGCTTTACTGCAGTGGTCTGGAACCAAACTTGCAAGGTCTCCAAGGTCTGCCTGTACAGCACGTGGGCCTACAGCTATGGAACCTACATCATATACATCTATACTTATGGAACCTGCATCTATGAACCTACACCATACGGACCTACACCTATGGGCATATATACCACATGGACCTATACCATATGGAGGAACCTACACCTATGGAATCTACAGCTATGAAAGCTACATTTATATACCTACACCCCCTGGAACCATATGGTCAGCATGTCGATATGGAGTGATGTGGAACCATCCCAAGACTTACCGTTAAGTAAAGAAAGAGCTATACATGTGAAAGGGAGACCCTGTGCTCCTAGCTGTGCAAAGCGTGTTCCCACATGCACAGTAGCATCTGGAAGAACATACAAAAAAAATCTCCCAAGAGTGGCCTCCGGTGGAGGAGTTAGGTACCTCTGCAGGGCTAGAGAGGGAACAAACCCCACTTCTCTACATGAGGCCTTCTGTATCTTTGAAATGTGCAGATTCCACCTCCCTGACGTTACGATGGCTCCAGACATACGACGCCCTTGAACTTGCCTCTTTCCAAGCCAGCCTTTCCCCATGCTCACGCCGGCACTTACATTCCCACATCACAGATGATATCCTGAGTGACTGGAGATTCCAGAAGGGCAGCCAGGACCTGGAGCGAATGCAGGAGGGTGTCCGACTCGTAATAATGATCCCAACATCCGTAGCCACTGCAGAGGGAGGGGGCAGGACAGTGAGCCCCTGAGACACACCGGGTGGGCCCAGGGGCAGGGGAGGGGCAGGGGCCTAGGGGCCTAGGAGTCAGAACATGCAGGGGTGCAACCCAGGCCTTGGTATCTTTTTTTTTTTTTTTTTTTTTTGCGGTACGCGGGCCTCTCACTGCTGTGGGAGATCCCGTTGCGGAGCACAGGCTCCGGACGCGCAGGCTCAGTGGCCATGGCTCACGGGCCCAGCCACTCCGTGGCATGTGGGATCTTCCCGGACCGGGGCACGAACCCGCGTCCCCTGCATCGGCAGGCGGAGTCCCAACCACTGCGCCACCAGGGAAGCCCCTTGGTATCTTTATAAAGCCTCCCAGGAGATTCTATTGTGCAGCCAGACTTGGAATCACTGCTACAAAAAAACCCCAAAAAACGATGCTCTTTATTGGAAATTCATGAACTGGGCCCCATCCACTTCTCAAAGTTGTCAGTTACAATGAGAAATTCTCTCTCATGTCAAAAAGTGTCTGCTCTTGGATTTTTTCTTTTTTTAACCTTCAATGTAGCCCAAATCCCACTAATCTACAAGAAAGGGATGCGAAAGAAACAAAGCTGGACCCAGAGAAAAACATTCCTCAGGCAAAGGGACCATGAATAATCATTCGAATGCCACTCACACAGCTACTCCTGAGTTTCTTGCTATAGATACTGAAGCTTGTAGGGGGCTGAATGGTGTCCCCCAAAAAGGTGTGTCCATGCCTTAACCTCCAGAAGCTGTGGACGTGACCTCATTTGGAAAAAGTGTCTTTAGAGATGTAAGTGAAGGATTTGGAGATGAGATGACCCTGGCCCTAAAGCCAGTGACAAGTGTCCTTACATGAAACAGAAGGAGGAAAAGCCATGGAGAAGAGACGGGGCTGGGGCTGGAGGGATGCGGCCACAAGACAAAGAACTGGGAACCAGAAGCTTGAAGGGGCAGGAAGGACCATCCCCTGGAGCCCTGGAGGAAGCAGGGCCTTGCTGACACCTTGATTTGGGACTTCGGGCCTCCTGAACTGTGAGAGAATAAATTCCTGCCGTTTTAAACCATCCAGTTTGTGAAACTTTGTTACAGCAGCTCCAGAAAAAACTAATACAATGCTCAATGAGGTCCTAACAGGGGAAGTGGGTTGAGAGTAATTTCTCAGTCTGGGAGTCCCAGTAACGAAATGTACAGAATTTGTAAAGTACTATTTTATTTTGTTTTATTTATTTTACTATTTTATTTTATCTTATTTCACTTCATCTTGTCTTATTTCCACACCGCATGGCTTGTGGGATTTTAGGTCCCCAACCAGGGACGGAACCCCGACCCCTGGCAATGACAGCATGAAGTACTAACCGCTGGACTGCCAGGGAATTCTCTGTAAACCACTTTTAAATCTTCACAAGGTCCTTCCCACTACGCATGGCCCGGAAGTGATGTTGCAAACGCCGAGCAAACTTTGCACACGTGAACACAAACCCCCAAACTGGCCTTTGCCACCCTTAATGCCTTGAAAAGCATTCCTCTCGGCCTCTGGTTCTGATAAGGGGGAGAGCCTGATTCTTAGATGAAAACGGGGTCCAGACCTGGGATGTCCTTTCCTCTCCAAGGACAGACTCCTGCCTCAGAGGCTGTCACTTCCGTACCTCCCAGGCCACATGTGATACCAAACACCAATGCAATGCCAGACGTCCAGCCAGCTTTGACATCAGCCCCGGACTGGGAAAAGTCTGCCTCTCTACGAGCTCCTGTGTTACCCGACATAGGAATCTGGGATCACCCAGCCTTGCTGGGCCTGCTCTTGTTCAAGGGTGCCAAGCACGCACACTCACGGGCTTCTGACGGTCTCCTAAATGGGCCTGCATGTCCGCAGTTCTCAATGCCCGCCACCTCCTTCCTTGCACTTTCGGCTGAGGGGAGCTGATATAGACGCCTCTACCTGCCCACCCTGGGGTGTCTGTGTGTTCTGCTCTCACCATATTTCCAGTTCTGGTCCAAGCCTGTATCTTGCTCCTTTGTGCTTGGCAATTTCAATACCTACATGTACAGAGAGAGAGAAAGAGGGGCAATTTCAGCACCTACGACTGGTCCAAAGGCAGATCTAACCCTCTCGCTGCCATAGGTGTCGTAAAAAACAAAAGGGCATCTCCCAGACCCTGCTGACACCTGCAGGAAATGAGAGACACGGGCAGGGCCTGCAGGGCTGACCCTCAGCACCAAGGAGGAGCAGGGCGGGGCGAGGGGGGAGTCACACACTGGTAGTTTATTAACCAGCAGATGCAGAAGACCCTGTGTAGGGAGAAGGGAGGACCCAAAGGCACCAGCAGCAGGTACCAGCCGCCTCT